GGGGGAGAGAGAGAGAGAGAGAAGCAGTGTCATAGTTTAATTTGTACACCGCTTCATGCTTACATTGGGTTGACGGACAAAGGAGGTGGTGCAGGAGAATCCAGGCCCCAAGATGTGACCCGGGACTGCACGATGTTACCTTCCCTCAGCACCGGTTTACATACCTCTCGAAGCTGAATGCCAGATGTAACTTCGACTGCGGGATTAAGGTCTGTTGCAAACATCTTTCCTGTCATCTGATCCCTTCCATTGGCCCTGCCATCAGCACCTCCTCCAAAAATGGATGACAGACCCCACTTTCCTGAAGCTTCTATGGAACTGCCTGCCAAAGTGAACAAGGGTACTATATGAGTTCCAACTGGTTGATCAATGAGGAAACTTACAATCAGAAAACCAAAATGGCTCTCCCGGAATTCCTTCACAAACTCACATAGTCAAAACACATCTCAAAATGAAAAGAACCCCGTGTGAGCACACTGCATTTTTCCTGAATTAGCCCCAGGGTCTACACGACCTTCAGAGCCGTGCTGATCATTGAGATGGTGGTATATGCGGGTCTGGCTGAAGCAACAGAGAGTCAAGTGGATGCTGAGCAAGGTAACACTGTCAATGCAATTCTGCAGTACATGGAGGCGGTCCTACCAAATTCTTTCTCTACTGATACAGCAAAAAATTCAAAAGGCATGACCACATGCGGGCACACTGCACTTTTCCCGAATCAGCCCCCAGATCCTACATGGCCTTGAGATTCATGTTGAGGATTAAGATGGGAGTGAGAGTCGAGTGGTTGCTGAGCGATGTATAACTGTCAATGCAATTCTGCACCAGATGGAGGTTGCCCAAGTGCTCTTGAAGTGTTTTGGAGAGCGGAGTGTGCAATGAGAGGTTCAAGGCTTGCTGCAAGGAAGGAAGGAAGAAGTCAGAGACGGAAGGAGGGAAGACATCAGTGCAGGATGCAAACGAGGAGAGACGACACAAAGCAATGGAGGGAGCGAAGTACAGAGCAGGGGACCGATGTAACACTATCAATTCAATTCTGCACCGCATGGAGGCGGTCCAAGCAGTTCTGAAGCAGGTTGGGGAGTGGACTGTGCAGCAAGGGGTGGAAGGTGTGCTGCAAGAAGGAAAGACGAAAGAACAGCTCGGGAGAAAGGAATTAGGAAAGGCAAAGATGTAGGGTGTGAGAGAGGAGAGTCAAGTGAGGGGGAGGGGGTGGGAGGGAAGGAAGAGGGAATGATGTAACACTGTCCAAGCAATTCTGCAGCACATGGAGCTTGCCCAAGTGGTTCTGAAGCAGGTTGGAGATAGGAGTGTGGACCAAGGGGTTCAAGACTTTCTGCAAGAAGGGCGGACAAAAGAGGATGGAAGGAGGAGGGCGCAAACAAGGAGGGAGGAGACAAAGCAAGGGAAGAAGGGAAAGAAGAGGGAAGGAGAGAGGGAGGGAGAGAGGAGGGAAGGAGGGAAGGAGGGAGGAGGAAGGGAGGGAAGGGAAGTCGAGGAAGGAAGGAAGACAAGGATGGACGGAAAGGGGGAGGGAGGGAGCGAAAAAGAGTGGAGTACAGAGCGAGGGAGGCATGGAGAAGAGAAGTGGAAGGCAGGCAGGGAGTGGGAGGGAGTGAGGTACAGAATGAGGGCAGCAGGAAGGAGCCAGCGAGGAGAAGGAGCAAGGCTCACATGCCTTTTGAGCAGTGTGACATCTCGATGAATGAATCAAGGGCAAATGGAGAGGAGAAGGCGCCCAAGAAACAAGCTGTGATGAGAATGTTGGGCGCCCAGTACAGAGAACGTACAAGCAAGAGAAAAAGAAGAGGGCAATAAGAGAAAGAGGGAATGCTTATAACTCGACAGATCCAACACATGTAAAGAATCCAGAACAAAAGGAAAGGAAAAAGACTCGACAGATCCAACACATGTAAAGAATCCAGAACAAAAGGAAAGGAAAAAGAGTTCAGCCACTTGACTGTACTTTTGAGCGCTTGGACGCATGATCATAATCTTTTATGTCACCGCGAAAACGGCCGTCTCTGGGAAAATTTGTCATATCAGTTGTTCCCCAACTTTCAGTAATAAGATGTTTCGTTGAACTAGTGTTACTAGTTTTGACTTCGAGTCTTGACTGATGTTTTAGGTGATTGAAAACCGAAATTCGTCACAAGCAGTTTCACGAAGAGGAGCCTCTATCAATCCAGAAGGTATTTCATTCTCAACAGCCCTGGCAGAGGGGACGGCAGGGAGAGATCACTCACCTGAAGTTGTCGGGCGTTCTGTCCTTGGCCCCTGTACATCAGTAATCCATGCACACCAGACAAGACAGACGTGTTTCCCCATCGCCGCGTTATTGCAAAGCATGGATGATGATCGGTATGCCCTTCAAAACTGAACCGCATCCTATAGTCGACTGTGCCATTTGAGTGTAGTTTCCGGTGATTCATGTCAATGGTGTATCCGTTTCAGTACATGCTACCAAGAAGCCATCATAAAGGCATTGCAAACATGAACTTGATGAGAAGAATAGCACCTCAGCAACTGATTCTTACCAATCAAAGAATCACACAGTGTAAACATTACTAAACAACACATATTTGACAACATTCACAGATTGCAGATGGAACACATGGCATAATATACAGAATGTAGAGGGTGAATTAAGAAGATCAAGTTTTCGGAACAGAAGAAGACATAATGTGTCATCTTCATAATAAACAGGATAATCAACAGAGATGATGCAATCAGGAACTTGAACCAAACAAACAGTTCACTGATTTATCCTTCACCCATGCTGAAGATATTTAGCGAAATTCACACTGTGCACTGTGCAGACAGAAGACGTGTGTCGACATCGACAAGCATGGCATAATAGGAAGAGATTCAGACCTGGTTGATCTGGTTGATTCACAGATACAGCATAATTTAGACTACCGTCTTCACCCGAATAGAACGCCCGGTCACTATAGCTGTATTGGATGCAACATTCAGTCCAGATGCAGCAATAATTACCAGGCGTTCTATTTGGGCGAAGACGGTAGTTGAGTGCTAGTTTTCTGAACGGAGCTAGACAGAACGTGTAACCTTATCATGTTTGGTTGATCACCTTTGTAATCAACAGAGTGCAGAGGCTTTTGTTATGGGAAGGTCGAGAAGAAGAAACAGGAGCTAATTTGTAGTGTCCAATGCTTAAAATATAAAATAGAGCTCGTAAACATAAAAACAAGAGAAGATGGAAGAGAAGCTGATTCACGTGAAGTACGCAAAGCCATCCGCTGGAAGGAAACCAGATGGTTGTACAAACGAAAAACCTGCCATCTGCCAACACAGTGGTAATTTGGCTTTGTGGCTTGGAACTTGGAAGTCTTTATGGACGGTACCTCGCTTGAAAAGCTTTTGAAGCTTCGAGACGCGTTAGCCAAAGGAGAATTTGAATGGGGCGGCCAAGCGCACAATTCTTCCACACAGTCAATCATGGTGTCATGTATAGTATCATCCAGATAAAGCGACCAACGACATCCCTGCTTGGGATGATGATATAGTCTTCTCTGGTGTATTCTTCTTCGGTATACGTTTCCGTGCGCTTCGCGCCTAACCCAAGAGACTTGGTCGATGACATCAATGTGGATTCACTGCTATAGCTCATAGGGAAGCCTTGTGGAGGATGAGAGAGTGTGAACAGGTAAACATGCAGCAAAAGATTGGACAAAGAAGAAGACAACAAAGAGGAAGAAGATGGGGAAAGATGGAGGACGAGGAAGAGGAGGAGGAGAAAGAGGGCTATTAAATGCTGAGAAAGGGAACAACAAGAGAAGGACACGCGTATGGCAAGGTCATGCACGAGTACATGGCCTATTGCATTTTCAGAAAGAAACGGACAAGGAACGGAGGACATGAGTGAAGCAAGGTCATGCATGAGGCCAGTGGTAATGGATGATTAGAACTGACATAGCACCATGCATGAAGGCATTGTGATTTAAGCCTCCAAAAAGGCCCGGCGCATCCTGGTGCGCCCATTAGGGATCGAAAGTGAGCAGTGCCACATACTACACAATGTGAATATGCGTACGCCAGGACTCTCAGGAAAGGAAACTGTGCAGAAATGGGAGAAGAGCATAGGCGGCTCACTTTTTGAAATACGCAGCACTGTCTTACCCTCTTCCTCTTTCTCATTCGGACACATGCAAAGATTCACTTGCCGCGCACTCAGGTGTGAAGATGGTTATGGTTAAACCTACTATTCCATGAAATAGTGCACACTAAAAAAGAAGCAAGCTTGTGGTGAGACAACAAACTGCAAAATGACCACAGTGGATGAAAGAAAAAGAACCAAGAAGCAGACCCTCAAAACAAAAACGAGAATGTTTTTCTAGTTATGGGATATTCCATGAGGACGTCCAAGTGAGTGACAACGGAAGTATGCCAAAGATCAATTCCAAACACCTCAATTCAAAACCCCAAGAGGTTCTCAGTAAGGAGATGGGCGACCCTAACTCCCACTTAAGTTTTAGCAAATATAAGTTATATAACACTGGAAGCAGGTAATACTTCTTTTTTCTTTTTTTTGAAAAGGGCAACAGCCTTGAGATATTATCGTGGAACTGACCGTCCCTAGGCAATTCAAGAATTTCGTTCATCTGGTTCCATCTGGATTTGAACTCCAGCCTGCATTTCAACAGTTTATGGGTGTACCAATTGAGCAAAGCTCGCCAGTGGAAGCGGGGTAATACTTGAGCTAGGCATCCTAGGAAATGAAACAGGAACGGACTCCGAATGACATCTACTTGCCATCGTATTTGGTAAACACTGCAGAAAATCCAAGTTCTGAGCTGAATTAATGTGATGGATACTGGCATCCAGGTCCTGAGCTGAATGGAAACTGGCATTTGATACATGGACATGTTATCACATATGGACCACCATCGGCTTCAGCACGTATGAGATCAGAGGACAAACGAATAGGTCAAATGCTCACAAGCAAGACATTCAGGCAGAAGCCATGCACTATAACATTCACTATCTGATATCGAGGAATTCCTATCCAGCATATGGTGAGATGGGAGAGAGAAGGTGAGAGGAGAGGGACCAGAGTAAGGTGCCAAAAGAGAACCCAGAATGCCTGCCTGTGAGATGAGGACCACCAGTTAGCAATAGTCGTAGGCAGCAAACGCGCAAACGCACATAAAGACCACAATGCGTATGATTTGACTCACGCCCGCTAGGGAAGCTGCAACGGAGTAGTAGTTGAAAACGCCACAGGTTTTCGCATTGTAAAATGCAAGTATATCTGCGTGGTCCATCGGGAATCGGGATCATAATTCTTTTTTGCATACGAAGAAGGATAGCTAGGTTCATGGTCTGTCAAATGCTCACATTTTCAGTTCCTGGTGCAGGCAATGCACTCCTCGCAAGAATTCCTCGGTTCTTCTTCTCTACAAGCACAGCCCTCTCCACTGCCATTTCAGAGTCCTTCAGATCACATAAGGAAACAAACAAAGGTCACGAAAGGCACATTGGGAACAATCCCATAAACTAGTATGGAAGCTATCCTTCCATTGAAAACTAGTTCTGGCTGGGTCCAGCAAGACTGGTTGCCAAACAAAAACAATACACTCCGGAAAGCATGCCTGGGCTGGGTTCGTGCAGACGACACAGAGATCCTGAACGATAGTTGACGCCCAAGAGGTGTTTGGACTTATTGGGCCTGAAAGGAAAAGGGAGCGGGGTAGGGCCAGCATTAAGGTCAACGGGGGCCAAGACTGTTGCCAGGAGGGGAAGAGAGGTAGTCTCAGAGATGATCGGCGTACCCCACGAGGTGGAAGCGAAGCTGAATAATCATAATGAAGAAGCTATGTGATGACTCTAATGAGGATAATGTTGATGGTAATGATGATGACGGCGATATGATAATCCTGATCATGGAACGGTGGTGATCTGGTGAGTATGATGAAGAGAAGGGGAGGTGAAGGGCGAAGCCGAGACATGGAGGTGCATTCAAAGGAGTCGGGGAGGATGTGATGATGGATAGAACTGATGACGGGACTGCTATGAGCAAACCACGGTCCTTGTCATCATTCAGCCAGCTATGGTTGTGTTTCGCATCCAGACTGTAACGGCTTACATTAGCGCACCAATGAGATGAGAAGGGGCAAAGACGAGTTGAATTGCACATCAATCACTGTCCCGCCCACAGAGCAAGTTCATACTCCAGCAAAACCACTTCTGCATCCCGTCAGTCTCCCGGACTTATATGCATGAGAATGACCACGAATTCTTGGCCGCCTTTCATGAGAACGACCACAAATTCTTGGCCAGCTTTCCACAAATTTTCAGTAATACAGTCAATGAACAGCCCAGTTGAATTGGACATCCATCAATCTCTAGAAACCACTTCTGCACCGCATCAATCTCCCGGCCTTAAATGTGTGAGAACGACCACAAATTCTTGGCCAACTTCCCAGAACTTTACAGTAATACAGTCAACGAACAGCCCTACTGGCCCCTGTGTACCCATAAGAAAATGCCAAAGAAAAGAAACCACGGAAACACAAAATGCAAGCACTTCCCCACTTCTTAAACTACTTGTGCCTTGAAGAGCCTGCACAGGGTTGAAGAGCGGTCTACAAGAAACTTTTGGGTGAGAATGACTCCAAAACTCTTTGCCGAACTTGAGGCTATAAATAAAACACAAAAGAAACCAGGGGTCCTCCATTGATGTAGACTGCTTCAGCCCAACCAATTCAATTACCTGTCAAATCTGGACAGGACGGCCTTTCAGGCCTTTTTTTATTGTCATATAGTATTACGGGGAACCACGTAGCAGCCACATCCGTGCTCAAGCCTCCAACGAGGGAACATGCGGGAGCTGCACCCACCAGCAGGTGGGATACCTGCTACAGCAGGTGGGCGATACCGGCCAGGGGTCAGCCGGTAGCATCAGGACCGAGCTTCTTCGATGGGCCAGTCACTGTGCTTCCCCTCCGGTCCCCTCCCCCTATGAACATCAGCAGTCTCTGCTCAATGCCACTTGGGGGAACCAACGGCATATCTCTAGGTGGCGGGCGCCAAGCTTGCCCAGGAAGGGGCATGAGGCCAATGGGGATTGAACCCAAGACCTCCTGAATGCCACTTGCGTGCCTCACCAACTGAGCTAGGCCGCTGGATTTTAGACTGCTTTCTATATACATATAGTCAAACAAAGCTGCCCGGTAAACTGTAGGCAGAGAGGGAGAAGGGGACAACAAACGAGGGGCTGTGGCAAACTGTTTCGTCGGAGTTTCACCGACTCGTCATATTGTCACATATATATATATCGTCAAATAGAACTGCCCGGTAAACCGTAGGCAGAGAGGGAGAAGAGGACAACAAACGAGGGGCTGTGACAAACTGTTTCGTCGGAGTTTCACCGACTCATATATATATATATGACGAGGATATAGATATATATATTGTCACATCACTATATATATATATTGTCACATATATATCGTATATATCGTCACAAATAGAACTGCCCGGTAAACCGTAGGCAGAGAGAGAGAGAAGAGGACAACAAACGAGGGGCTGTGACAAACTGTTTCGTCGGAGTTTCACCGACTCATCAGATTACATATATATATATATATATTATCACAAACAGAACTGCCCGGTAAACCGTAGGCAGAGAGAGAGAAGAGGACAACAAATGAGGGGCTGTGACAAACTGTTTCGTTGGAGTTTCACCGACTCATCAGATTACACTAAATGATAATCTACCTTAACCAAAATCAAAGTAGACTATCACTCACCCACTCCAGATGGAAAACTCTACAGACTGTCGGTTCACACCCCATCACAAGCCAGCAAAACATCCAGGAAACAAAGAAAGGTCTGTCACAGCCAAAAAATACACTCCAGACACGCCGCTGGCACTAGAGGCACAGCATGGCCGCCTAGTAACGACCCCGACCACTGCCGCTCGACCTGACCGGAAAAAAACGTAGCAGGAAGCTAGCGAAGTCATAGCATATATCGTCACACACAGAGCTGCCCGGTAAACCGTAGGCAGAGAGAGAGAAGAGGACAACAAACGAGGGGCTGTGACAAACTGTTTCGTCGTAGTTTCACCGACTCATCAGGAGGCTGAACCCTAACAGTCTGCAGAATCCCCTCACTGAATATATATAACTATTAAAGGAAGGATAGGGCCCTGTAAGACACTTCCCCTGGGCCCAGGAAAAACAAGGCCCGCATCATCCGCATGTTAATTGGCCGGGACACCAGGTGCCCCGCGAAATCTAGCCCGCAGACAGTTTTTTTGCCCTGCCGCCGCGGGGTCGAGGCTGTGTCCGCGACGTCCAGTTCGTTTTGCCGCCGCGATTGCCACGCTCGGGAGGTTTCATGGATAGCAGCCCCGCTTGACGCACGCCCAAAAGCAGATCTAATCGTATCCACATTCAGCCATGGCAGCCCCGCTTGATGCACGGCCAAAAGCAGATCACTGCACCATCCCCCTAATCGCATCCACATTCAACCATTTTTGCAGCCCTTGCGTTGCTGCCAAGCCAGAAGCAGATCAATAGCAGTTTCTGCACCTGCCCACTAATCGGCATCCACATTCAGCCATAGCAACCCGCTTGATGCACGCCCAAAAGCAAATCGTTAGCAGTTTCTGCACCTGCCCACTAATCGTGTCCACATTCAGCCGCTTTTGCAGCCCTTGCGTTGTTGTGAGCTGGCTCGGCAAAGGGGGGGGGGGGGGGGGGGGGGGGGGGGGGGGGGGGGG